ACTGATTTCCCCTTTGAAAATTTATTCTGTTTTGCTCCCTTCTCTCTACATGTCCGAACCCCCTCAACAACCCTTTTCACCCCCCTTTGGAAAAAAAGTTTGGGTTTAAACCCGCACCTCCTCCTAACTTCCAAAATAGAATTTTTCTGATTATATTCACACCACACATTGCCCCCGACATGACATCTCCCCTGCCCCCCAGCCTTCTCCCCGCTGCAAAAATTCCTTTACCCACGCTTACACCATTTTAAGGGGCGTTGGGGGTTTTAAAAAAATATACTCTCATACCCTTCCCTCTTTGCCTCCAAAGGGCAAAGTTCTTTTCCCACAGAATCCTAAATGCCCCCTCACTCTTTTTCCCCCATCAATTTATTTATTCACCTTTTCTTTATAGCCCCTCCGTGACCCCCGTTTTAAATCCCAAATATCTGAATACGTTTTACCTCCCCCCCCTATCTCTCCCTCCAATTGATATTCAATCTTTCATCACCTAATCTTTTTGTTATCCTCATAACCTTACTCTTTCCTGTATTCACCTTTAATTTTCTTTTTTTTTGCACACCTACCAAATTCATCCCCCAATCCTGCAACTTCTCTTCAGAATCTCCCAAGAGCACAGTGTCATCAGCAAAGAGCAGCTGTGACAACTCCCACTTTGTGTGTGATTCTTTATCTTTTAACTCCACGCCTCTTGCCAAGACCCTCGCATTTACTTCTCTTACAACCCATCTATAAATATATTAAACAACCACGGTGACATCACACATCCTTGTTCTAAGGCCTACTTTTACTGGGAAAAAATTTCCCTCTTTCCCATACTCTAACTTGAGCCTCACTATCCTCGTAAAAACTCTTCACTGCTTTCAGTAACCCACCTCCTACACCATACACTTGCAACATCTGCCCCCATTGCCCCCCTATCCACCCTGTCATACGCCTTTTCCAAATCCATAAATGCCACAAAGACCTCTTTAGCCTTATCTAAATATTTGTTCTGGCAAATATTTTTTTTATTTTTTTTTTATTATCACACTGGCCGATTCCCACCAAGGCAGGGTGGCCCGAAAAAAGAAAAACTTTCACCATCATTCACTCCATCATGTCTTGCCAGAAGGGTGCTTTACACTACAGTTTTTAAACTGCAACATTAACACCCCTCCTTCAGAGTGCAGGCACTGTACTTCCCATCTCCAGGACTCAAGTCCGGCCTGCCGGTTTCCCTGAATCCCTTCATAAATGTTACTTTGCTCACACTCCAACAGCACGTCAAGTATTAAAAACCATTTGTCTCCATTCACTCCCATCAAACGCTCACGCATGCCTGCTGGAAGTCCAAGCCCCTCGCACACAAAACCTCCTTTACCCCCTCCCTCCAACCTTTCCTAGGCCGAACCCCCACCCCGCCTTCCCTTTCCACTACAGACTGTACACTCTTAAAGTCATTCTGTTTCGCCCCCATTCTCTCTAATTCCGAACCCCCAAACCAAATTCCTCAGCCCTCTGGACAACAGTTTTGGAAATTTCCCGCACCCCCTCCTAATTTCCAAATAGAATTTTCCTGCATTATATTCACACCAAAAACATTGCCCTCAGACATAAAATCTCCACTGCCTCCACCCTTTTCCCCTCGCTGCAACTTTCATCCCCATGTTTCCCAACCCATATAGAGCTTTGGAAAAAACTATACCTTACTTTCCCCCCTTTTTGCCCCAAGGACAAAGTTCTTTGTCCCCAAATCCCTTCTTTTTTTAAAATTTTATCTAACCACCAAAAAAAAGTTTCTTGCACCTTCTTCATCACAACTACTGCCTCCCCTTTTTCATTTCCACAGAAATCTTGATTATACCCTCACCACCCGTTTCAAGAGTTAAACAAACTTTTCCTTTTTTTAGTATTCAAAAGCATCACATTCACTTTTTTTGCGATAATCTTCAAAACCAAACACTGACCTTTTTCCATCTGGGCAAGGGGCCTTTCTTTTTGAAAATTTGTTGACTTCAGGGGGCCAAAGGGATTTCCCTGCTTCTTTGATGGCCTTTACCCTTTAAATATTGTCACACGTGGAATGGGAGGGTGAAAATCACAAAAAATGCTTTTGACGTTTTTTTTTATCCTCGTATGTTTAATTCAGTGGGTCCTCTTTTTCGTAATTAATCCTTTCCCTGGAGGACTACTGTAAACAAAATTTTGATTTGCGAATAAATTTTTCCCCATAAAAAATAATGAAAAATAAAATTAATCCGTTCCTGACACCCGAATTATTAAATCAAAAAAATTTTTTTTACATGAAATTACATTAGTACAAAAACAATACAATGGGAAATATGAATAAACTTTAACAAAAAACCTTCCCTTTTTGGAGTTCTTCTTTTATGGGAATGGAGGAGGAGAGAGTTTGGATTGTTTATGTTTGGAAAGGGGGAAATCCCCTTCCATCAACACCCAGGTCCCATTGCTTTTCGGGGGTTGCTTCTTTTTTCTGTTTTTTAATCCCACTGGGGACCCCCTTGAGAGTCATGGAGTCCTGTTCGAAAAAATAACTGTCCAGAGAGCTCTTTTTTGGGTGTTCTTTAACACTTCCCTAAAAGGGCCCCAAACTTTGTCCTGTACAGTTGCCAACATGGCTTGAAAAACAGCCTTGTTAGGGTGATGTTTTTCCAAAAAGTTTTCCCTCTTACCCACATAGAAAAAATCTTTTTAAAATTTCTGAAGAAGGCACCTTTTTCCATTTCTTCCCCTCCTCTGCACAAGATTCTGAGCTGCGATCTGTTGCTTTTCCTGCGAGCTTTGCAGCTCCTCATGGTGACTTTCGTTGGGTTTTTCCCCCCAATTCTTCCCCATCCTCCAAACTCCACCCAACCCTGGAACTCCCCATGCCACAATTATTTTACAACAGACTAGGCTCAAAAGGTCAGTCCCAAACCCCTTCAAAATCCCTCTTTGCAACACAATCTGGCCCACAATTTTCTCCAGGCGGTTCAAAGTCCTGGTGTCACCCCTCTCAAGCCATCTATAAGGGGTTTGCAATGGGGGTCTGAAGTTTTTCCCCAAAATTCCCCTTTGGGTCAAGTGAGGTCTTGGTCCGTAAGCACCTGTGAAACATTGGTTTGGGTTTTCAAAGGCCCCGCTGGTCCCGAGCTGGAGGAGGGGGATGGTTTTTTGGGGGGAAGAACTTTTCTGTGTTTGAACCCAAACTCCTTGAAAAATTAGGTCATCCAATTTGGAGGTGAGCAGGTGCATTGTCCATTTTAACAGGCACTTGAATCCAAAATTTTTTTCCCGGGGGATATCCCTTTACCTAGGGCCAAAACTTCATTGAACCCTCAAAGAAAATTTTTTCCCCGTGACCCCTGCCTTCTATTAATTTCCAAAAAAACACACAATTTATTTCAAACTTGTTTTCCTGAACACTTAGGTTTTTAGGGAAAGGTACACTATAATGGCTTCATTTGAAATCCCCTTACATTAGCCAAACATTAGCGTCAGCCTGTCTTTCATGGCTTTTCCTGGCATTGCCTTTCCTCCTGTGTAATGAAGGTCCTCTTTGGCATTTTTCTTCCAAAAAGGCCTGTTTCGTCACATTGAAACACTTGTTTAAGGTTTCAGTCCTTCAGCCTCTATGTACCCTTGAATTCAGCACATAATTTTTCAGCCCCCTTTTGGGGCCGAACTGGCGCCCCACCCTCCTTACCACACTGTGTATGCCGTACGGTTCTTTAAAACTCTCAAACCCCTTTGCTGGCCTTAAATTCACTCGATCACCACTAGTTCAGGCAAAATTTTTTTACCAAATCGTATCAACTGCCTAGCTTTTTACAAATAATCGAATATAAGATATTCCCGTAATTTTTTTCTCTTTTTTAACACCAATAAAAACTTCTCACCTCTTTGAGTCTGGTGACTCATTTTTGTCAGCATGTTCCCCCTTTGCAACAACCATCCTTGTTTTTTTTTTCTTGGGGCCCCTATGGAAAATAAGTTTTGTGGGTTTTTTTACATCCGGCCAGTTCGGCCAATTGTACCCCTTTCAATTGTTCGTGATGGTTTTTTTAAAATTTAGTCTATTTCTTACCACAGGCTTGGCACTAGGCTTTCTTTTGGGGCCATGGTGTTATTTAGTACTTGCAAGCCTAAAAATGAATGGAATAATGAAATATTTTTGGGGAGTGAGGGGCCTTCGCCTGGTAAAAAAATGCCAGCTGGCGCCGCCCCAGCTCACGCCCGGGGTCGCGTCCCGGGCGAACTACGACTCACGAGTAACCTATGAAAGCGAGCCCATGTTTATATGAAAAAAAATCCCATGATTTCCAAAATTTACGATTGCCGAGAATACAAAAAAACGAGGGGGGGCCCCCGTACTTTGATTTCTGGTCAGGATAAAAGGGCCCTTTCTTGCCTTCTTGTCATAACCTCCAGTGCAAGATTCAGACTTCCACTTAAGGACCATAGTGAAAATTACTGTCCAGTTAGTACAGTTAATACAGTATGATGCTGCCGGTAGGACAGGACAACTCTAAGTGATGCCGCCTGCATGGTGCATTGCCGTGAGTAGCGGTCAAATATCGTACAGCAGTATGCATCAGCTGGCCCAGCCCTGCTGCCAGACACACGGTCGTAAGTCGGGTGGACGTATGTTGAGCAGGTCGTAAGTCGGATGGTAGGTGTATACTGTTTTAAGCAAATTTCTTGATTGACAGTGTGTCTTTTTTTTTTTTTTTTTTTCAACAAGTCGGACATCTCCCACCGAGGCAGGTGGATATATGTCTAGTCATATATCCAGCTGTCTTAACCACAGTGGAATACTGACTTTCATCAGGAGGATTGGCTGCCCCAGATAACACCTAATTGCCTCCCATTCTCTAAGCAACCCTTACAAATTTAATGCTTTCTATGATAACACATTCATACAGTGCTTGTCTTATTTAAATATCAGTGACTGACCCTTCTGTATTTAGTTCTTTCCATGAATATATTAATCTTTAAAATAATTTTTTCTTTAGGAACACATTGATTATGTAAACATTGGAACCCCACTCTCCAATTCTCACTATCTTGGTGCACCACAAGGCGAAATTTATGGACTGGACCACACCAGGGAAAGGTTTTCCATCTGGAATTATGCAATACTCAGACCACAAACTGATATTCCAGGTAACTTTTAAGATAATTTGTGTTTTGTATACTGTGCCAGGAACTAACAGCATTTGATTGATGAACAAGACGTATGTGAAACACTTGCATATCTTTGTTGTCAAATATTTTCACCTGCACAGCACTCTCCTTTAGTCCAGTGCAATGGTGATTTTAATAATGGAGAAAGTGAAAGTGGAAAGGTATTTATAGGTGTTTAGTCCCTTAGCACTGACTGAAGCCAAAAGCAGAGGCATTAGGTCAGAGACTTGTATACTGGCACCAGAAGTGAGATGTAGCACCTGGAAATGTATCACAAGTGAGCAGGGCCCACTAGTGGATGTACTTCATGCCAAATAGTGGTTTTGCAATATATTTGCTAAAGACATCCACTCTACCAAGATACAATGGTTTTGCTGTGGAGTGGAACAGAGATTCAATTCTCTAGATCAAAATTATTATTATTATAATCAAGGGGGGAAGCGCTAAACCCAGAGGATTATACAGCGCCTGGGGGGGGGGGGATGTGGAAGGCATTCAGGCTTAATTCGGGGAACTGGAGCACAGATCCAATTCCCTAAATCAAAAGCCCCTCACCAGCACCAAGGAACCTCCCTTGAGAGGGAAGGAGGGTTTACCCATGTGTTGTATACCTTTCTTATTCATCAACTTGTTGGTGTGGTATATACCATTAATAATATAGATCAGGATTTACTTTAGCTGCTCAGCAGACTTTGTGATATTTTATAATTTACAGTTAAGAATAATAAGTGGATTTTGCAGTAGACATCATTGTTTTTGTGCAACTTGTTAAAAAAAAAGTGCTTTTTTTTAGTTTCATTTAATATTTGCTTTAGGTACTTGGAGTTTTATTATGTAAATTCAACAATATTAAATGTGTTATAAAATGGAGTTATTTTGGGTCTATGGGGAAACTTTTTTTTTTTTTTTTGTAACCTCCCCCCCCCTCCCCATCTAACCTAACCCAGTATTTAATTCAAAATCTAGGTTAAGTTATGATAGGTTGGATAAATTTTTTTGTGGCATCACAAAAAAAAAAAAAAAAAAAAATTTCTTCCCACCCACTTATTGTTGAAGAATTTCCATGGTAACCCACATTATCCAAGTAGCTAAATTACATACATGCTAATGATGTATGATGTTATTTCCTTGAAGGTTTGCTTTTATAACTTATTACATTTTTAAACATTGTTGTTTTTTCTTACTGATTTTGTCTTTTTCTTGCAGGATTTTACCTGACTGGACAGGATATCTGTTCTTGTGGGTTTGCAGGAGCTTTGTGGGGAGGTCTTTTGTGTGCTTCATCCATCTTACACCGCAATGTTCAGAATGATCTAGAGTCCCTCCACCAGACTCTACATGATGAGGTCAAAGCTGAAGCTAAAGCTAAATAAATTTGTCACAGTATAACAAAGGGAGATTTTATCATTGTTGAATTTATACTAAAGTGGTTTATTGGAATTATGGACTTATCAAAACAAGCTGTTTGTTATTGATGTCAGCAACCAGTAGCTATCAAATTCCTTGTATCAAAATACTTTGACTACCATCGAGAGTAACCTGACAATAATAAAAGTTACTTGTTAATTGCAAATTTGCACCTGTCTTCACTTTTACCTTTACCACATCTAAAACATCTCTATGATCGTTTTTGATAAGTGCATGGTAGGGAGAAGATATTTATAATCTTGTAATATTTATTATATCTGCATATGACGCAATGTTTTGGTATTCCCTCCATTACTCTTTGTGAGCAGATGTAGAATTACTCCTTATTCCACATCTTAACTTTAATTAAAAATGTTTAAAATGTGATAAAATTGTTTACCATGTCAGTGCTTGCAAATAAGAAACTTAGGTTAGCATGCAGATATCATGAAGAAGCTTAAATAGTCATCAGCTGTTAATCAACTGCTATGCTGGATATATTCCGTTATGCCATTACGTTAGTTTTACTCATTGGTACTGCCTGAGATTCACACACCACTGTGTCCATAATTTATGTAAACCACAGTAATAAATAATTAGGAAAATTTATTAAATATTTTTTGTTTTCAACGTACCAGCCGTATCCCACTGAGATGGGGTGGCCCAAAAGGAAAAACGAAAGTTTCTCCTTTTAAATTTAGTAATATATACAGGAGAAGGGGTTACTAACCCCTTGCTCCCGGCATTTTAGTCACCTCTTACGACACAAATAGCTTATGGAGGAAGAATTCTGTTCCACTTCCCCATGGAGATTAAATATATAGGAATATTTTACTAAACCGAAATTATTCAATGGTATACCTTATTGGTGAGTGGTGCTATGTATAGTATTAGGAAAATACTATTGAATTCATATAACTGCAGTAATAAAAAAAAATAATTGCTAATAATTTTTAGGTAGTTGTGGTAATTTTTCAGGCAACTAATCTCTTAATCAAATTATAGACAAAATGCATTTCACTTTAATTTACAGCTTGAGAAAATACAGTGGCAGTATATCAATGCAATATTGATATAGATGCAAGGCAGATGGAGTATACTTTAAAATTGTACATTTGGTAGGTAATGAAGTCTGCAAGTTACTATTTCTTCATGTGGTGAGATTTGTCTGAGTGATAAATATCAAAGGTGCTAATGAAACTTCTTTATATCAGTAGAATGTTATAAGTTTGTAGATCATAAAGTTGTATGACCCTTTTGGGTTTAGTGCTTAAGTTGATTAGGTGTCCCATGGTTCAGTTGGTAGTGCACTTGCCTCACACTGAGTGTCCGTGGTTCAGTCCCCGGCATGGCTGGAAACATTTGACGTGTTTCCTTACACCTGCTTTCCCTGTTCACTTAGCAGTAAGTAGGTACCTGGGTGTTAGTCTACTGTCATGGGTCACATCCTGGGGAATAAGATTAAAAAGGACCTTAATTAAAATAAGAGTTCCCAATGACACACTGATGTCATTGAGTTATCCTGGGCAGCAAACCCTCCAAGTTACAAATCTGGCCAAATCTTATCTTATATTTTTATTGAAGACCATGAAGATGGACTTCATTACAATTGAATATAGAGTCAAGGAAGTGTATTAAAGGTATTATTCACCAATTGTGTCTGGAAAATCTCTATTGTTATCCCATTTTATTTTTACAAACCTTGTTCTGCACATTCTTTCCTGAAGAGCAAGAACATGCCTGGATTATATACGCATTTTTTCCTTTGTTACTTTTAAGATATAACAAATATTATTATAGATAAATATATTGGGATTCACTATAAGACTTGTTTCATGGCAAAAGGTGCTATGGTTATGAAAATAGTGAATTTAAGAAACTGTCATTTTCCAAAACTTCTGCTCAGATTAGAATACATAGGGTTCAGGATTGTATGATTAACATATTTAAGTAATAAATTAGCAAAATCTATAGATAATTTATCCTATAACCCTCAGAAGCTAATAGTGTGTTCCATTAAGGGATGACCAAGCCTTTTCATAAACTTGCTAAGTATAGCATATAATAATCTCTCGTACAGTACTAGCAAGCAGCACAAAAGCACGGCCTTAAGCTTGTGACTACCCTCAGAGGCGGCAAAAGATAATATACAGTGGACCCCCGGTTAACGAACTTTTTTCATTCCAGTAGTATGTTCAGGTGCCAGTACTGACCGAATTTTTTCCCATAAGGAATATTGTGAAGTAGATTAGTCCATTTCAGACCCCCAAACATACACGTACAAACGCACTTACATAAATACACTTACATAATTGGTCGCATTTGGAGGTGATCGTTAAGCGGGGGTCCACTGTATTTGGAAAATACTTGAGGGCCAGGTTCCAAATTTATGCACTACCCGAACAACTTACTCAATTTTTTTTTTCTTTAACACCAGTTGTCTCCCAACACGAGAGAGAGAGAGAGAGAGAGAGAGAGAGGGGAGAGAGAGATGAGAGAAGAGAGAGAGAAGAGAGAGACCGAGAGAGAGAGAGAGACCGAGAGAGAGAGAGACCGAGAGAGAGAGAGACCGAGAGAGAGAGAGACCAAGAGAGAGAGAGACCGAGAGAGAGAGAGAGACCGAGAGAGAGAGAGAGACCGAGAGGAGAGAGAGAGAGAGAGAGAGAGGAGGAGAGGAGGACCGAGAGAGAGAGAGAGACCGAGAGAGAGAGACCGAGAGAGAGAGAAGAGAGAGGACCGAGAGAGAGACCGAGAGAGAGAGAGGGAGAGAGAGAGAGAGAGAGAGAGAGAGAAGACCGAGAGAGAGAGAGAGAAGACCGAGAGAGAGGACCGAGAGAGAGAGAGAGAGAGACCGAGAGAGAGAGAGAAAGACCAAGAAAGAGAGGGGAGAGGAGAAGCACGAAGTAAGACCGACGGAGAGAGAGAGAGAAAGAGAAGAGACCACGAGAGAGTGGAGCGATGAGACATAGAACCCCCCACACACACACACAAAAAAAAGGGGGGGGTGGAGAACACATCTTACGTCATCACTCGATCTCTGTTACTCTGGGAGATAGGGAATTGTAAAATAAACCCACTGAAAAGCTGGAAGTGCTTATAAGTCTTAATTACAAACAGTTTATCAACTTCCGGGAATATTTCTTAAATTACCAGCAGAATAAGGAAATTTGCCAGGAAACACCACCCTCAGGGAAGGTTCCTTGAGTTGTTGAGGGGCTCTTGGATTTAGGAATTGGATTGATGTCCAGTTCACGAATTAAAAGCCTGAATGCTTTCACATACCCCCCCCCAGGCGCTGTATAAATCCTACAGGTTTAGCACTTCCCCCTTGATTATAAATAATAATTGCCAGAACAAAGGCAAAGGTTTTCAAGAGGAAATAACCACAACCTTCAAATGCCAGATCAGCCAGGCTATGTTAGCCAGTGTGCTTGGCCATCATAACCATGTTGACCAGTGTACTGCTAGAAACAACAGGCTAGTTCATCAAGCAATTAACAAGGAAGCCTCACCTTAGATGAGGCTACAGATTTAAAACCCTCAGAACTGGTTACAGGTAAACAGCCAAAAATTTTCAATTATTACATCTGGAATCATAATATTGGTAACAAAGAAAAAATATATTTTAACTTCTTGATTTAATGATTTTTGACACTTTTTTTTTCAGGTACCAAATAATGTTTATGTAGTTATTTAAAATAATTTTATTGATCAATTTTTTTTTCTGCACTGTTGACTAGAAGTTCATGCTAAACTTAAATGAAAAATTATGATGAGCAAGAATATTCATATCTCAAGTTTTCTGTTAATCATATAAGGAATATCTGCCTATATGATATTGGGGAATTGAGTTGTAACAATAATGTTAATTCACTGCTGAAATGTAAACAGGTTATGATTTAAGTATGAAAAATGCTTAACCTCTTGGGGTTGTACAACCCTCACCCTGTAAAGCAAAAAAATACTGGGTTCTTTATCCATGGAATATTTGGGAAAGAGTGGACACTCCAAGCTAATTCCAAGGAATCATCCAACACCATACAATGATGACCTAGTTTTGTGTATGGAAGACATAAGTACAGAAGGTAAGACTATTTTTAAAAACAATAATGTCAAATTCCCAAAATAATGTACCACCAATTAGAATTAAATTTTTACATTTAACTCTTCCACTGTCCAGATCCCTAAAATTAATATAGTTCATGTCTACTTTTTTCTTCAAAATTTGTGGAAATTCTTTTTCTAATGGTCATACCAAAAGTACGAAATATGATGAAAAACTTATGGATTTATGCTGGCGCAAAGTCAGCAGTCTTGGCACAATGTATGCATCAGCGATTTTTCCCACCTTGAGTCATGTTTTAAGCCAACTATATTGTTCCATTCAACCAAATTCTTTGTTATTTTACTAGTATTCCTTCCATTCTATCGACTGAGTGCAAGAAAATGTCCATTCAGATATTAAAAATACCCTATAAAGTGCACAGAAGTCATAATTTGGTCAATTTTACACAAAAAAATACAAATTTCAAAATAGTCCAGAATAAGCATTTGTAGATATTCCTTGCACTGAAACATTTCCTCTGTTCAATAATCACGTCCTCAAGCCTCTCCTATAATTACACTTGCCTTCCATTTTGAATTCTTATTCACACAAAAATGTTTACTCTATTTCTTGGGGAATAAAATATTTTTTTTTATTTATTTATTATCACACTGGCCGATTCCCACCAAGGCAGGGTGGCCCGAAAAAGAAAAACTTTCACCATCATTCACTCCATCAATGTCTTGCCAGAAGGGTGCTTTACACTACAGTTTTTAAACTGCAACATTAACACCCCTCCTTCAGAGTGCAGGCACTGTACTTCCCATCTCCAGGACTCAAGTCCGGCCTGCCGGTTTCCCTGAATCCCTTCATAAATGTTACTTATCTCACACTCCAACAGCACGTCAAGTATTAAAAACCATTTGTCTCCATTCACTCCTATCAAACACGCTCACGCATGCCTGCTGGAAGTCCAAGCCCCTCGCACACAAAACCTCCTTTACCCCCTCCCTCCAACCTTTCTAGGCCGACCCCTACCCCGCCTTCCTTCCACTACAGACTGATACACTCTTGAAGTCATTCTGTTTCGCTCCATTCTCTCTACATGTCTGAACCACCTCAACAACCCTTCCTCAGCCCTGTGGACAACAGTTTTGGTAATCCCGCACCTCCTCCTAACTTCCAAACTACGAATTCTCTGCATTATATTCACACCACACATTCCCCCTCAGACATGACATCTCCACTGCCTCCAGCCTTCTCCTCGCTGCAACATTCATCACCAATGCTTCACACCCATATAAGAGCGTTGGTAAAACTATACTCTCATACATTCCCCTCTTTGCCTCCAAGGACAAAGTTCTTTGTCTCCACAGACTCCTAAGTGCACCACTCACCCTTTTCCCCTCATCAATTCTATGATTCACCTCATCTTTCATAGACCCATCCACTGACACGTCCACTCCCAAATATCTGAATACATTCACCTCCTCCATACTCTCTCCCTCCAATCTGATATCCAATCTTTCATCACCTAATCATTTTGTTATCCTCATAACCTTACTCTTTCCTGTATTCACTCTTAATTTTCTTCTTTTGCACACCCTACCAAATTCATCCACCAATCTCTGCAACTTCTCTTCAGAATCTTCCAAGAGCACAGTGTCATCAGCAAAGAGCAACTGTGACAACTCCCACTTTATGTGTGATTCTTTATCTTTTAACTCCATGCCTCTTGCCAAGACCCTCGCATTTACTTCTCTTACAACCCCATTTATAAATATATTAAACATCCACGGTGACATCACACATCCTTGTCTAAGGCCTACTTTTACTGGGTCAGCCACTCTAACTTGAGCCTCACTATCCTCGTAAAAACTCTTCACTGCTTTCAGTAACCTACCTCCTACACCATACATCGCATCGCTATTGGGCCGTGCGGACGTGCTGCGCAGTAGCTCCTGATTGAGTTGGCTTTTGCGCAGTGTTGACGTGTACTTATCTCTGTGAAGACCTGTTTGCGCGCTCTCTACGAATTGAAGCAAGATGCCCTCCATCGAGCAACTTTACCAACAGCTTAAAGAAGAATTGAGGATGGCGAAGGTGGAGATTCGGCGACTGACTGAGGAAAACAAGAAGATTCGTAGTAGTCCTCCTGTTTTGAGTCCTCAGGTCAAAAAGGGAAACTGGTCAGTGGCTGGACAGCAGGGAACGAAGTTGACGATCAAGAGGACGAATGGAAAGGTAGAAACGATGAAGAAGAAAGAGACTGCCGTGGAAACTGTTGTGGAAACATCTAATACATTCTCAGTGCTACCCGACGAATGTGAGTCGACTACTGGGAACATCACGACGAACGACACCAAGGAAGGTAAGAATATTTTTGTTGTTGTTGGGGATAGCCAAGTTTTAGGTTTGGTTTAGGGCTTTCTGTTTGAAGGACGGGAGTAGGAGGGACAGAGAGTTTGCTTTCCCGGGGCGGGGGTGGAGGTTTTGTTACATTGGTGACTCATAGAGTTAATGGGGCAATCCTATTATCTGCCTCAGTGCTGGAGGAAACATGTTGGCGAGTAGGATGAAGCCTGTTAGCGGTATAGGTCAGCAATAGAAAAATTAGGAGTAAGGGGGGGGCCCCCTGTCATATGTGGTATTTTCCCAAAGGAGAGGAGTTGGAAATGAATGGTTGTCCCGGGCAATTGGGGTCAATTTCTGGCTGGACAAAAACTTAAGGGAAAATGCTGTAACATTCTTTGAAAATGGGACCTCTTCTAGGGCAGAAATGACATGTATGCAGGGATGGGGTTCATTATCAGGTTGGGGTGGTAGCACTGGAAATGCAGTGGAGGGAGCAGTTGGGTTTAAATAGGAATTTATGGTGGGGTTTTGGCAGGAAAACAGTGAAGTCCGGTAGTAATATTACGATTTTCTGGGGA